CTGCTGACCTTTTGGTTCACAGCCCGATGCTTTAACACAGCGCCACCAGAATTCCTAGTTGTCCAGTCCTAGAACAAGAGTACTCAAAGGTGGACTTGGTTCTATTTTCTTTTTCCTTTTATGGTCCATTGTTTTGGTAAGAAGCCCTGGTGGCACAATGGTTAAGCACTTGGCTGCTAACCAAAAAGTCAGTTGGAACCCAGTGCTCTCTCCACTGGAGAAAGATGTGGCAGCAAGGTAGCTACAGAAGATAATGCCTATTGCAAGCACTGAAATTGCTCCCCTGTCTAAACAGCTGATACCCATCTTTTAGATAACTTCATCATAATATCAGCTCAAAAATATAAGCCAAGCTTGTTCATCTTTTACTTAACACATGATGGCACTACATGAAAATTATAACTGCACTTTCCTTGCTTTCACTAATGAAAATTGGTCTATGATGTGCTGAAAGACTGTTTTTTCCCCCCAGTTTCTTCTTTTTCCGCCTTTAGCAGAGTAAGATCACACAGTCTGCCTTGAACAATGGAGTCTCTCACATATGAACGTATTAGTCTCCCTCCCCCATTTTGGTTCTCTAGTGCTGCTCTAACAGAAAATACCATAAATGCATGGCTTTAACAAACAGGGATTTATTTTCTTACAGTTTAGGAGGCTAGAAGTCCGAGTTCAAAGTGCCAGCTCTAGGGGCTAGGTGAAGACCCCTAAACCTTGGGCTTCAGCTCTGCCTTGTGCTTCTGGCCCACTGGAGCTGGAGGTGTCTCTTAACTCAGGAAGCTGCTGGCTGCTGAGGCTGACAAACCCAAGGTTGACAAGTAAAATGGCACAGTCCCAAGAATATCAAGCAACATACCAGGCCACTAGTCCAATTCCAGAAACAGTCTCAAGATTGGCAGACAACATGGCAGGCCACTGAGATGAAGACTTGGCCAAATGCAGGATCCAGATGTGCCAAAAAGCTCAGAGACCTTTCCCAAAGCTGCTTCTTATATACTGGAAGCAGACCACATCCCTAAGGCAGCTACTCTGCTGCTCACAGCAAACACTGTGGAGTTGATTACTAGTCTCATCATGAGGAATCACTACATCCAGCTGCTCAGCCACTCAAAACCAAGGCCCAGGCAAGTTGACACATAACTTTAACTACCACACCCCACAAGAGAATGTAGAATTATTTTTTTTTTCAAATTGTGATTTGGGTGAAAGTTTACAGAGAAATCATGTTCCATACAACAGTTCATACACATTTTGTTTCATAACATTGATTGCAATCCCCGTAATGTAACAGCTCTTTTTCCACTTCCTCCTTGTGGTTACCTTTGCCCTGTGTCCTTTCCTGTGCATTCCCGCCTTCTTAGCTTTCTCTTGATGCAAATACTGCCGTTCTGATCCCATGGTTGATTGTTCTAATGAGTGCATAAAAGTTTTAGTTTTAACTTGCTGAATGACCTCTCAGCTGATAATGGAAACTGCCATGGTTAATAGAAACTGCTGGTTGGCACCCCCCTTCAAGTGGCGCCCAGGGCACGTGCCATACCTGCCATACTTTAGATAGCCTTTGTGTGGCAGTCTGTTTCCATAAAGATTGTTGTTGTTGTTGTTGTTTGCGTCGAGTCAGCCCTGACTCATAGCGACCCCTCCTTGGGTTTCCGAGGCAGTATCACTACGGAAGTAGGATTGCCCAACCTTCCTTCCGAGGAGTGGCTGGTGGGATCAGCCTTGGAAATCCTATGGAGTAGTTTTACCCTTTCTTATAAGGTCCCTATGAGTTGGGATGAGTCGGGGCTGACTTGACAGCACATAACAACAACAACAGAGAGCAATGAATTATTGTTTCAGTCTGAGCCTTGGTGTTTTCCCAGTCCCATCTGGGCTGTTTAAAATTCCACAGTGAAACACTTGGCTGAGAGATACAGTCATGGGCAAGTGCTTGCCAGATACATTGCTTGAGGGCAGTATTTCATGATTACATTTTTTACACTTGTGCACATATTGGTTATGTCTTTGACAATTCTCAGAAGTATTTGTATTTATAATCTTATTATTTTGCATTTTCCTATGTTTCTCCTGGCCATGAGCCATCTGAGCCCTGTCAAGGCGGTATGGGTGCAGGTAATGACTGCCTGGCCCCTGGTCTGTAGACCAGGCGCTGCCCTGGTTCTGCAGGGCCACGGGAGGGCAGGGAAGGTCGCCTGGGGGGCTTTAAATCTCTAGCTAACTCAGCCAGACACCCCTGCTTGCTGGCCTGGCCAATTGCCTATTGTGGCCAGCAGCCGCCAGGCTCAGGTGAGGCTGCCCCGTAGCTGCGGGGCATGTGTTGTGAGGACCAGTGGGCAGACACGGAAGCCCTAGGGCTCCCAATGTATTTTCCAGCTCTTAAAAGGCCCAGGTTTTTGGTTTTGATGTTGTTGTTGTTGTTATGTGCTGTCGAGTCGGACCCGACTTATAGCGACCACTCCTTGGGTTTCCAAGGCAGTAACACTATGGAAGTAGATTGCCCCATCTTCCTTTTGAGGGTCAGTTTGCATTCTCCCTGTCCTAAACCCCAGGAAGGAGCTCTAGTGCCATAGTGGTTAAGGCATTCTAACCAAAAGATTAGCAATTTGAACCCACCAGCCACTCTGCTGGAGAAAGATGAGGCAATCTGCTTCCATAAAGATTTACAGCCTTGGAAACAAAACAGGGCAGTTCTGCTCTGTCTTATAGGGCCACTGCCAGTCAGAACCAACTTGATGGTATTGGGTAAGCCCTGGGGATCAGCCGCTCTCCAGGGAACCATGGTTCCTTTTGAAGAATGCCATGTAGAAACCAAAATCTGGGTGTGTTGCTGATTAGTTTTACTGGCTGCACTTCTGCTCTGCCAAGGACTTAAAATGTGATTCCAGTGAAACTAGACTGACAGACACCTCCTTACACCCACCCTCATCCCAAATGAAAGATTCATTTCTAGAGCAAGCCTGAATCCAGGGAAGTTCCTGGCTTCTCCATGGCTTACTCCCCCAGCAACCCAGAAAGACATGGACCCGCCTAACCTCCCCAGTGGATATATCCTGGGCTCAGTGTGGGCTTCCAACTGTAGAAAACATCTCCAAACAATTGGAATAAAGTATTAGAACCTGAGACTTAGCTAGTTGAAGGGTCAGCATGAGAGGCAGGGCTGAAAAAAAATATGTCTAGGTACAACTTCTCATATCTAGCTTGACTAAAAAGACAGTTAATTTATCCCTGTTCTATATTCAGTGTACAGAAAATATATATGTGTACACAGCACTACAGTTTAATGGAATGACCATAACTTTGAATTTAACCAGAACTGGGTTTGAATCCTTAAACTGCTAAATATAAGCCCTGTAACATAATCTCTGGGGAGCTCTGGTAGCATAGTGGCTAAGACACTTGCCTGCTAACCAGATGGCTGGCGGTTCAAACCCACCAGCCACTCCTCAGAAGGAAGTTGGGCAATCCTACTTCCGTAGTGATACTGCCTCGGAAACCCAAGGAGGGGTCGCTATGAGTCGGGTTTGACTCAACGGCACATAACAACAATAACAAGAACAACGTAATCTCTGAGCATGGTCCCTTCTCTGTAAAACGAGGCTAATAATAACCATCCCGCAGAATTTTTTCAGAGGATTGGAGAAATGTGTCGAGAGGAGGACATTAACATACAGTAGCATTCAGTAACAGCTTATCCCTTTAATATAGCGCTTCATTACTACTGGGGACAGCAGCTTCACTTGTGCAGTCCTGTGGAATCCAGCAGATTTTGCCCAAGAAAGTCAGCTCGCAGAGGCTGTGGGGTCAAGTACCTGCTTCCAGTACCAGTTGAGACGATTCGGACTCATGGCAACCCTATGTGCGTTAGAGTAGAATTGTGCTCCATAGGGTTTTTCCAATGGCCGGTTATTTGGAAATAGATTGTCAGGCCTTTCTTCCAAGGTGCCTCTGGGTGGGCTCAAACCTTTGGTTAGCAGCCCAGAGCATGAAACACTTGCACCACTCAGAGCTTCCGTGGCTACCTTCTTACTAGTGATTTATAGACTGCAAAACTGTTTTCTTTCATTATCATCTATACCCACTGCCATCGAATCGATTCCAATTCATAGCAACCCAATAGGACAGAGCAGAACTGCTCCATAGGGCTTCCAAGGCTTTATAGGAGCAGACGCCCTCATCTTTCTCTTGAGGAGTGGCTGATGGGTTCAACTTGCCAATCTTTTGGTTCTGTACCACGAGTTCTTGTTTTCTATACTTACTTTTAAATATTGTTTCTTTCTTCCAGTCAACCTGCAACATTTCAGAAATATCACCAAGTGAGTCTGCTTGCAAGATTTAATCAAGATCTGGATAAAGTGGCAGCCATTTCCTTAGTGTTCTCCACAGGAACTACAGTAGGCCCAAAGTACAAGCTCAGGATTCTCCGAATGAAGTTACGGTCACTTGTCCATCCAGAGAGGTAATCAGTAGGCTGGGTTTGACAAACCCCTGTTTTCTGAAGATGTTGGGTTTTGTCCCATCTGCTTGGTATGATGTTTTAATAGGACTCCCATCAATCAATAATGAAGGAAGTGAAAGGTTTTTGTTTTTTTTTTTAAAGTCTTGATAAAAACAAATGGTCTAGTAATCCAAAAAAGTCATACTGGTATATGTTTAGATAAATGGCCCAGTAATCTGGGAAAATAATGTTATATGCTTACCATTAAGGAGCTCTGGTGATACAGTGGGAGCTCTGGTGGCATAGTGCATAAGGCATTTGACTGTTAGCACTGCCACTCCTCAGAAGGAAGACTGGGCAATCTACTTCTGTAGAGATATCCAGTCAGAAACCCAAGGAGGGGTCGCTATGAGTTGAATGACTAGATGGCAGTGAGTTTTGGAGGCATAGTGCCTAAGGCATCTGACTGCTAACTAGAAGGTTGGTGGTTCAAACCTACCAGCCACACCACGGAAGGAAGACTAGGCAATCTATTTCTGTAAAGATTTACTGCCTCAGAAACCCAATGAGGGTCGCTATGAGTTGGAATCGACTCAATAGCAGTGGGTTTGGGTTTTTTGTTTTTTTTTTATGTTTACCATTATATGATTCCTTCCTAACCACCTACACTGCTTGTTAAGTTGAAAACCTTTTTGTAGAAAAGAAAGCCTCATTTAATTTGAAAACTGATAAAACAGAGACTTGTATAAAAAAGATACAGAAACATTGGTATATTTCATTTCAGTGATAAAGTATAAAAGTAGTATATCAATGTTAAATTTTTTTAATTTGATAACTGTACTGAGAATATCCTTGTTCTTAGGAAATTCACACTGAAGTATTAAGTGGTAAACAGTTATTCTCAAGTGGTTCTGAAAAAATAAGAACAATATGTTTGTGTGTGTGTAAAAACAGATTAAGAGAGAGAGAGAGGGAGGAATTGAGGAAGGGAGGGAAAAGGGAGGAAGGGGAGGAAGGAAGGAAGGGAGGGAGGGATGGAGAGAATGATTTTCTTTTTGAAGTACAGAGCTGTGTTGGTATGTATGTTTTGTGACAAATGCCACTCCACCATGCAGACTTAGCATCCAGACTATGGACAGAGACAGGAAGTGATGTAAGCTGCTAATACTTTATGAATTCTTTCTTCTTGGTTCAGGATACCCTAACAAACTTCATAATGAGTTTCTTCTAAGAAAACAGTCATTGCATCTTAAAATTATGGGACTTTTTAAATACTTTTTTCCTGATTATCAAAGGAATACATGTTCATCTCATAAAATCTTGCAAGTACAGAACATGTTAAGAAGCAGAAAATTATCGCCTATAATGTCATTATTCAGAGGCAAACACTTATTTTTGGTTATTTCTTTCTGTTTCTGTTTTCTTTAACTTGGTTGAAGTTGCATGGCAAATAACATTTTTCATCCTGCTTTTTTGTTGTTTCTCTCTTATATCATGAGCATTTTCCTGTATCATTAGAACTAATCACTAAATAATTTTATTTTGTGGAGATATAATATAATGTACTTTACTAGAATGTGCTGGCTTTGTTATTTCATTGACAAGCATATTTTGTCTTCTTTTCACAGGCCCCAGTTGTGCCGGTATGACCTTGTATTGATGGAAAATGTAGAAACAGTCTTCCAGCCTATTCTTTGCCCAAAGTTGCAAATGTAACCTACATTGTGGAAACACATGGCACCTGTAACATCAAGAAAGCTACAATGACAGGCTTTTTTAAAGCTGTGCTTTCCCTTTTCCACAAGGCACAAAAAGTACAGAAAGGCCAGGATTTTTTTCAGTAGCGTCCTATGGATGCCACCTGACAAAATGTCAAATGACCTTGTGATTATAAAATCATCGTGGGATGGGAGTACCTAACTAGGGCAGTCAGAAATAGCCAGGCTCTCCACAGCATGCTGCTTGGTTTGGCTGCATCCTGAGGCCTCGTTTGTTCCTTCCAACCTAAACCTGTCGATTCCGCTGCCTGTCACAGGGACAGTTCTGCCCGTCCCTGCAGGGCAGGTGTCTTAAAGGGAAGGACTAGCTGGAGACCACACTTTGGACTTGACTCCACGTTCCCTGTGACAGATTCCTGCAGGTCCTGCATGTGGTACAAGGGAGTAGAAACAGAGCTACCTCACAGGGTTGTTGTGTGGGCTTGGCAGGCAAGTCTGTGAAGGGTTCTTTGAAATCCCGTGGGGGCACATCCCTGTGATGTTTGATAAATGTGAATATACTTTTACTTATTTTGATACAGCTTTTCTAACACGCAATAAGGGAGCTTCTCCTTATCAAGACCAGCTTCCCTCTTGGGCTGCTTGCTGGGCTGGGGGAGGGGCGTGGCAGGAAAGAACCACCCGGGGTTCCCTGGAGGAGGTGGGGATGGGCCACAGCAAAGCAGGCAGCTGCTGAGACTGGATAGTAAGTGGCTGGAGAAAGGAGCACAGATGAAGAATTGAAGCAGCCTCACAGCATGGTGACAGGGATGAAGAGAGAGGCAGGAGAGAAAAAGCAGAGCTTGTTTTTCACTTAGGGTGGGGAAGGAGCAGGCAACCCTCATAAGCAATCCTAAAAAAAATGTTTATTTGTACTTATTATCAATGCAATCCATGGCTATTGAAGGAAGTATGTAATCCGTGGTTTTTGAAGGAAATTTAGAAGCAAGATGCAAAACGGAAAAATGTCTGTCATCCCATCTCTTGGAGGTAATTAATGTTACAACATTTTGGAAAGATGCTAGTAAGCAAATTGATTTGCTGATGTGAATTCAAAGCGTAAACTTTGATCTTGGTGCATCTGAGGCCTCAAGTTCAAAGAATTCTCAGGCTTCCCTAGAAGTAGGTATGATCCATGAATTTGGAATGATACCAGCAGTCAAACCAAGAGCCCTGGAGAGCCCAGGCCAAGCAGGCCTTAACCAAGAGGGGATGACCACTCAGTGTGGGGCTGAGTGCAGAGCCAAAGGGGTGGGCATGATTCCCCTCCAGTGGCCACTGCAGGAAAGTTCCTGGGTTCCCTGAGTGCCACAGGCCTGGCAACCTCCTCTTCATTGATGGAATGCTCTTCTACTGCTTTCTGTGAGATAAGCCCTTATTTTAAAGAAATCCTAAAAAAAAAAAAAATTGTTTTTTAAACTAATGGCTACCCCATGTGTGTCAGAGTAAAACTGCTCATTGGGTTTTTGATGTTATGACCTTTCAGAAGTAGGTTGCCATGCCTTTTTTTCAGAGCATCTCTGGGTGGTTTTGAACCACCCACCTTTCAGTGAGTAGCCAAGTGTTCCTCAGCCAGTAGGTGGTCAGACTTCCAGGAGAGGAACCAGGCCTTGGATCCTTGGATCCTTCTCTTAGGGTTGGTGTCTATCCTGTTCTAGTCAGTTATGATTGGGGGAGAGTAGAGGAGCAAAACCATGTGGTCTTCAGAATAACTCATTTCCATCGCTCTGAGCATGTCCAGTTAAGCTGTTGTCCTTGAGCAGACTGCAGGGACATGTACTGTAAACATGCAAGGCTGGTGCAGCCTGCAGGGGGTGAACTACTTGGTTAGAGTTGGCTCTGTGAGTGCTGGGTTGGGGGCCAGGAGGGTTGAGGAGGCTGAAATCAGGGAATGAAGAAGGATAGGGCTTCTTTCCTGAGCAGGCAGGCTAAGTAGGAAGAGTCAGACAGGAGTTCAGGGGCAAGTTGGGGGGTGGCAGGCAGATGCTAGGGTAGCAAGCCTGTAGGAGATAGGGTTAGAATCTCTCGAAAGAGCTCTGTTGAACGTTCCTTATCCTTGTATTGGCCCAGTTCTACGAACCTGAGGTCTCCCTGCTGGATTTCTTCATGGACCCTGATCCTGTCCACGGGTTCTTTTGAAGACATCTCTCTTGAGTTCTCAGCTCCCTTTTTTCTCCATTTCTCATCCAACATCTCTGAAGGAGCCATCTTGTTCTCTCTCACTGCTTCCACTTTTTCCTTACCAGTCTCAAACTTCTTTCTCAAAAAGCTCAGTGGTAGAATTCTCACCTTCCATGGGGGAGACCTAGATCTGATTTCTCGCCAATGCACCTCATGTGTAGCCAGCACCTGTCTGTCAGTGGAGACTAGTGTGTTGCTGAGCAGGTTTCAGCAGAGCTTCCAGTCTAGGCAGATAAGGAAGAGGGGCCTGGTGACCTACTTCTGAAAATTAGCCGGGAAAGAACCCTATGGATCACAATGTTCTGATCTGAAACTGACCATGGAGATGGCACAGAACCGGGCATTCTTTTGTTCCATTGTGCATGGGGTTGCCATGGGTTGGAGCTGACCTGACAGAAGCTAACAACAACAATGGGGGAAGAGATTACGCTCTTGTGTTTTTGCTAGTTGTGTCACTTCCATCGACTTACTTAACTCCTCCTAAGCCTCAGTTTCCAGAACTATAAACTGGGTGTAAAAAGTCCCTACTTCGTGGGGTTGTTATAAGGATTAAATAAAGTAATGTATGTATGATGGAGTCTGGGGTCTACTAAGTGCTTAACAAATGTAAACACCTGTTACTTCCTCTCTCATGGTCCTCCTAGGAGACCTTCTTCACCCACCCATCTTTTCAACTGTCTCCCCTAGACAGATGACTCCAAATCTGAATGTTCAGTCTAGACTCTGGGTTTTCACCTGCTTGTTGAGAGGCAGCATGGGACTGAGGAAAGAGCTTGGGCAGGAGCAGGCAGACATGGGCTCGAGTCCTACTCAGCACTCAGAGCTGTGGACTTTGAGCAAGTGTCTTCATCAGAATACCTGTTCACCCACTCATTGATAAATAGGATAATGATTCTTGCTTAGTGAAGTAGAATAAGTTTCTTTATGTCTATTCTCTCCAAAGAACTTATCATGCTCTATAACTGTTAAAGGCCATTGAGTTGATTTTTGACTCATACTGACCCCATGTAACAGAGTACAGCTACCCCATAGGGTTTTTGGCTGTAATCTTTACTGGAGTAGATCACCAGGCTTTTCTCCCATGGAGCTGCTGGGTGGGTTCGAATCACCAACCTTTCAGTTAGCCACCAAATGCCTCACCATTGTGTCACCAGGGCTTCTTGTACTCTGTCATTGTCTGCTTTATTTCTTTGCTTGGTACTATTATCTCTCTTCATACTCTTCCCCAACCAAAGGAAAAGTAGAGCCCTTGAGTGCAGGGATCTCGCCTTCTTGTTCACTACTTCAGCCCCAGCATACACTTGGCACAGGCTCAGTGACATTACTTTCCCATTCACTTTCTCTCTTCCTATATTCTTTTGTCATCTCAAAGTCAACATGTACCAAACCAAACTAATCCTTTTCTTCACTAAAGCTGACCCATTAATTTAACAGATGTTTATTAAGTGCCAATTATAAACCAAGCACAAGACATTTTCTCACTCATGGGAATGTTTGCTGTCTACTGGAGAGATGGTTAATGACACTGGAGCACAGTACTTGCAGTAATAGTGCTGCGGACACTCCCCAGGGAGCACTAGACACAGAGAAGGAACAACTATTTAATTTATTTATTTATGTGATTTGGGTGAAGATTTACAGATCAAATTCGCTTTCCATACAGCCGTTCACATATATTTTGTCTCATGTCATTGACCACAGTTTACCACATTGCAACAGCTCCTCTCCCACTTCCTCCCCATAGTTACCTCTTCCCAGTGTCCATCCCTTCATACTCTCCTGCCCCTTGAGCTGTCTCCCTGTGCATAAGCAGCCCTTCCTTCTCCCATGATTGTTCTCTCCAGGGCGTGTGTCTACTTGAGGTAAGTGTTTAACTCACATGCCTATACTTTCTTTGGCTGGAAACCACAGGTGTGGAGGAACAACTATTTGACTATGGGGTCTGGAAAAGGCTTCTTGGAAGAGGTGACAATTGACCTGGATGTTGATGTAAGAGTCAGGATTTGCCAGGAAGGGAAGATTTGCCAGAGGGAGGGAAATTTGTCAGAGGCACAAACTACATGGTGTAATGGAGGATTTAAAGGAGAAATGGGAATGGCAGGCTGAGACCATTTTCTCCCATTTTTAAAAATGGAAGATTTTCAATGTATACAAGAAATAGAGAAAATGGTATACAATTCACCTCCATGTACCCATAAACACCCAGCTTCAGCAATTACCAGCTCATGATCAATTTTGTTTTATGTATAACTCTACTCACTAACCACCCCCATTGCATTATTAAAAGCAAATCCCCGACATTTAATCATTTCATTCATAAATACACTACAGTATCTTCAAAAAGTAAAGTATATCCTTTTTTCTCTATTTCTTAAAAAATGAGTCACTGTGTACTCTAACACTGTCTAGAAATTAGTTTGATTTTCATCTTAGCCATCTATATCTGCTGATTGCATCATATCAGAATATATAGAGTTCACTCTTTCTTTTAGGAGGCTACCTAATATTCCACTTGTGAATATACCATAATTAACCTAGCTCTAATGACATAGTGCCTAAGGCATTTGACTGCTAACCAGAAGACTGGCAGTTCAAACCCACCAGCCACTCCTTAGAAGGAACACTGGGCAATCTACTTCCATAGAGATACCACCCAAAGGAGGGGTCGCCATGAGTCGGGATTGACTCGATGGCAGTGAGTTTGGTTTTTGAATCCCTGGTGGCACAATGGTTAAGCACTTGGCTGCTAACCAAGAGGGTAGTGGTTCAAACCCACTCAGTGGCTGAGGGACAAAAAGCTGTGATCTGCTTCCATAAAGATTACAGCCTAGGAAACTTTATAGGGAAGTTCTACTGTGTTGCCTGGAGTCACTATAAGTTGAAACTGACTCAATAGTACCTCAACTGATGAACATTTAGGTAAAGGTTTTCCCTGCTATCTGAAAGAAGAATGTTCCTATGAAACTTTGTAAGTCAATGACATAAAGCAAAGAAGCAATTACTGTGAATTTTTTAAAGCATTTCTTGATCCTAAAAAACCCTGCCAAATCATACCAAATAACACATAAAACATAAAATAAGACTAACATATAATGTTCATAGACACAGTTCAAAGCTATGCTGGCTTTGTTCTGAGATGCTGAGTGTAGTTCCTGGGGAGGGAGGTTGGTGACAGCAGCCTCACTGCTCAAGGTGTGTGTTGCCTCTTTACCAGTTGCTGCAAAACAACTGCTGAAGCCTAGTTTTGCTTTTTGCAAAAGTGAAAATCCTCTTTCATTTTCTTCTGGTTAGTGGAAATAGATACTAATGTAGGCCTTTTGTAGAAGCTGAGTGGCATAAAGTAAACTTTTGAAAAGTGAGGGATAACTGTAGTTCCCAGTCTCTTACTGTCACAAAGTTGAAAGGATACCTTGAACATACATCTTTGTCCACCTGTGGGCATATCTGTAGGTTAAATTCCCAGTCATGGAATTGTTGGGACCTTTCTTGTTGTTAGGTGCCATTGAATTGATTCCGACTCATAGTGACCTTATGTACAACAGAATGAAATACTGCTTGGTCATGTGCCATCCCCACACTTCTAATTCGGACAGCCTTCTTTGTTGGGCCAAAGAAGTGTTTTGAGTGCTATGATGAGGACCCTTTCTCACAGATGTCCAGATTTGTGACACTTTGGGGTCCTCTCTATCCTCTCCTCTTCATTTAATCAGTTACATGTCCTAACAACTCAGCTTCTCCCAATCTGTTGGTCTCTCCCTCCCTTCTCACAGCCATGGTCCTTGCTAAAGCCTTCATCTTCACTGGCCAGGACAATCGTAGCTCTCACCACATTTTGTGAGAGCCAACATCCCAAATGGGACTGAATCCTTCTTCTTTTGCTTAAACACATCTGTGATGTCCTACCATCTACAATATTAAAAATTTCAACTCTTTAGCCTTCCTTTCAGTATGTTCCAGTCTTTCCCCAATTTCTCTCACTTCTGCACTTTGGGCTTCACTGAAACTGGACCTGGGCTTACTTGGGCCTTGGGCTCTCCCTCCTTTCTCTGCTTGTGGAGATCTCCCTCTTTCTTTAAGGTCAGCTCAACTTTCACCTCCTTTATGAATCCATGCAGCAGGTAAAGGCCTCTAGTTTTTGGCCTGGGTTGACTTGGGCTCTAATCCTGGCTCTCCTTTGGGAGATATCACTTAATCTTTGAGACACAGATTTTGCATGTTAAATAAAGACAAAAACATCTACCTTGCAGGACTGGTGTAGCATTAGGGATAACTGGCGTGTAGTTGATGCTTAATGAAAGGTAGGTATGATTTAGTCTGTTGTCATTTTCACCGGGTGGACTTTGGTTGGAACCCTGGTTCTACACGGACTGCATTTGCCTTGTGTTATAGCTGGTTGGAAGGAAGATGGGGCAATCTACTTCGGTAGTGATACTGCCTCGGAAACCCAAGGAGGGGTCGCTATGAGTCGGGTCCGACTTGACGGCACATAACAACAACAACAACAGCTGATTGTGGGCAGGGGTATCTTGACCGCAAGCTCAGTGTGGGCAGAGTTCATGATTTACCTCTGGAGGTCCTAGTGCCTTACATAGAGCCTGGCCCTATTGGTATTCAATGCCAGAAATGAATGAAGAAAGAAAAATAAACGTTAAAAAGACACACAGACAAAAGAAAAGAGAGCAGACAGAGAAAAGCACTAGAAAAGTTTTCTCTGGAGTCCGGAAGGAGACACAGAGAAGGTGGAGCCTGGGCCGGGAGGGGAGTGGCCTGGATCCGGGGCGGGGCTTGGCAGGGCCCCGCCCAGGTCCTACTGCGATTTTGCTCCGCTGGCTCAGTCCGCGCGCAGCGTGGTCCCGACCGTGCCATAGGCTCTTCGTCTGGCACGGTCCGGGGTGCGGGAGTCGGGATGCGCCCCCTGCTCGGCCTCCTCCTGATTTTCGCTGGCAGCACGTTCGCCTTGTATTTGCTGTCGACGCGACTGCCCCGAGGGCCGAGACTGGGCTCCGCGGAGGAGACTGGCGGCAGGTTCGTGGCGGGGCGGCGGGAATTGGAGTTTGGCTCAGAGGAAGGGAGCCAGGTTCTGGTTGGGATCTGGGAACCGGAGATTCGGGTTGGGTTGGGATACGGGAATCACTGCCGAGAATCGAGGTCCAGGTCTGGTGTTCGGGTCCGTGCCTGCCCCGTTTCAGACAGGCCGGGTGGATTTGGAGCCTGGGCCCCCCCGGTGGGTCAGAGATGCTAGGAATGTACTGTCGGGCGGGCGGCGGGTGCCTTCGGGGTGGGCGCCTTACCAGGCGGAGCCTGTGTTCGCGCGGTGGCGTCGCCTCTATAGCCGAGTTCTCAACGTCTTCCCAGTCCCACACCTGACCACTTTTTCCAGCCGACCCTCGCTCCGCGTTAGCTAGCTTCCTTCTGGCCTCTTCTCCACCTCACCCATTTGCGCTAGGTCTGCCCTTGGGACTTTAAGGCATTCGGTCTTCGGGAGACGTCTTGCATGGACAACTTCAAATTATTCACGAATTGATTCATATCTTCCCCTCCTGTTTCTTTACTTTTTTCCTTCTCAAAAGCAACTGGTCGAGCAGGAGGTGGAACACCTACCAGGCTGATTTGTCGTTAGTACTGCAGACATATATAAAACTCCTGGAAATGAGCCTGACTCCTAGCATTATGCTGTCAGGGGATGTTGCTTATACTTGAATATTAGGACAACTGTTTTTGTTACTGTATTCTTTTGCTCTAGCTCAGAGGCCTCTGCTGTGGGTGTCAGACATACTAAGAGAAGCACTCTGTTGAGCAGTGGGAGAGTTTGCTCAAATTGATCATTGATGGATTCAAAAATTGTTCAGTTCACAGAGGCAACGTAGACTTTACACTGTCACCCTTGAACAGGATTCAGAGTGCACTGAAGACCAGGTTAAGAGCAGGATGAAACAACAGGTTCTTTAAAAGGGTTGGGAACGCTGATGTATTATAAGAAATTTATGTTTATCATGTGGGACTGATATGCTTTCCGGGAGAGTCTTTAATTGGCCTGTGTGTGAATAATAAAACATCTTTTACCTAGTAACTCAAGAACAATGAGAAGTCTGAATGGCGCTTGACCTAAAGCTTGGAGTGGTGGGGAGGAACAGCCTAAAGGAAAAGAAACGTAGAACATTCAGTACTTGTCATTTGCTTCGTTCCAGAGACTGTAAAATATTCTCCAGCACTAGCCTCTTATTTTTATGATAAGGAAACTGAGTCCTAGAGTGTCGTACCAGGGCCCAGGGTTGCCCAACAAATGAGACAAACTACACTCTCTGCTAGTGCATGGGTAAGCCCTTTACTCACAAGAGACAGAGTGAGATCAGCTTCAAACGTGGGCACTGGTCTCCCATGGCCGGCAAGTCCCTCCTTGTGGCCGGTGCCAGGCACGTGTTCTACACACAGTCTAAGGAGACCTGATTTCTTCCCCTCCAGGAACAGTATTGAAGTGGGGTTGGCAAGGTACCATATGGTACCTGCACATGAGAAAGAGACAGAGAAAGTTACTGTGTGCCCAGAGCAGGGAAGAAGGCTTCTCCAGTAAGGAGAAGGGACTGAAAGAAAGAGACCCTCCCCGCCCCCCCCAGTTCCCAGCCTCCTTATCAGAGAATGTTCTGGGCCCACGGCTTCTGCTTAGGTAACACAGATAGGATATATGGAAGCAGACTGCCCTCCCAACACAGAGAGTAACCCAAGGTCATATAATTGGATAGTAGCAGGGTTGGGATGCTCACCTAGGTCTTTTGTTTCCAGAGTAGGGCCCTTTTGTCTGCCTCTTCTGTCACCCATCATCTTTGGTTCATATGTGTGTTCTTAACAGATCAGATGATGGGTAGTATTCTAAATTTACTTTGGAAAAAAGGCAGCAGCAAGTGACTTTCTTAGGCACTAGGCTGATAGGAATGAACTTATGTTTCCATCTCCTCCAAACTGCCAGGTCGCTGTGGTTCCCTTCAGACCTGGCAGAGCTGCGGGAGCTCTCAGAGGTCCTTCGAGAGTACCGGAAGGAGCACCAGGCCTATGTGTTCCTGCTCTTCTGTAGCGCCTACCTCTACAAACAGGGCTTTGCCATCCCTGGCTCCAGCTTTCTGGTAAGTGTCCTTCTGTGCCTGGCTCTGTCTTTGTAGAAGGGCCCATATACTGCAAATCATACAGACCCTAGGACAGATGATTGCCATTCCCATTTGTTGACAGCTTCCCCTGTGTCAGGCACTGTCCTAGTTGTGCTACCTGCATGACCTTACACCTGCCTACTCCTCACTTATCAACTATCTCATTTGGCATTTCACATTTACAGCAATAGTGAAAAAATACATTGTCTGACTATTTTGCACATTAATGACACAAGCCTGGTAGTAATGAATGCTGAGGTCCCTGACAGGGTCCATGACCAGCAGACCTCATGTACACATAGAAAGGAAGCTTGTATTGTATGGTAGTTAACCACCTGGGAGGGGAGAGGGAATATGTTTTTTCTGAGCTGCTGGAGTGCCAGGAAGAGTGGATGGGAAGGTTTGAGTGGGGCCAACAGGAACGGGACACTGCCTGACAGATCTTGGTGGCCACAGGAGGCTGAGGCGAGGGTACTGGCAGCTAGTATCCTGAGGATGGCAGGGCTGGGCCAGGCCATGGTTAGAAGGAGCCCTGAGATGGGGCACTCAGGTGCCCAGGGCAGGCTACCTGGGTGGGGGAGGGTCAGTGGGTGAGTAGCCAGCTGCAGCTGCAGTTTAAGGTCAAGGACAGAGGCTGGGCTTGGCCATCATGGTCTTAGAGGAAACTTTGGATTGTAATTCTCACGGGGACATGGGGGCAACTCATGGTTACTCAGCAAGAGCTGGGGGATGCTCAAGACAGAAGGCTGGCAGGGGCACCCAGCAGGCCGCATGTCCCCCACTGCGGCATCCAGGCCATGCCCCTGCCCCTGACAAAGCCACCAAAGGTGTTTTGGGGTCATTGAGGGGTTGAGCTGGTCCACCCATCCTGAAAATATGGTGAGGACAGGAGAGAGGGAGGACCCTAGGAGTGGAGATGGGGGCAGTGCTTGGACTCTGGCTCTGGAAGACTGAGTGGCCCTCCCCTGTAGGCAGTGTTGGGGCTTAGTATTTCTGAGGTGATGTGGAAGAAGGGGAGGTGGCAGTGGCAGGTGACCTTATCAGGATGTCCACTGTATGGGCAAGGGGGTGAGGTGATGTGGTTATTCTCCATTTTCATATGACACTGATTTTCACATAATGACTGGTCTTTGGAACCTAACCATGTTAATAAGTGAGGAGTGGGTGTTTGTTGTCTTATAACACATTATAATGTGAGCACAATTTTCCATATTTTAAAGGTGAGGAAACAAGTAGTGCGAGGTTAAGTGATTGTCTAAGCTGACATGGTGAATAGGGGGCAGGGCTGGGGTCTGCCTTTACTCTCAGTTAATGCTGCTTTTGTTTCTAAGGCATCGATAGCATTGGAAGCTGTGTTGGGAAAGCTGGTTTGGTTGAACTCAATCCTTAGAGTTCTCATAATCTGCATTTTGGCACTCTTTATTATTATTATTATTTTGTAAAAATTATATATAACAAACATTTGCCAATTCAACAATTTTTACATGTTCAATTTAGTGACAGTGATTACATTCAGTACATTGTGCAGTCCTCACCACTATCCTTTTCTAAATTATTCTGCCACCATTAAGAGAAACTCAGTACCCCCTAAGCAATGACTCCCCCTTTTTTCCTCCCCCTGACCCCTGATAACCTCTCATAAACTTTGGTCTTTATTCATTTGCCTGTTTGAGATAAGTGGAATCATCCGGTATTTGTCCTGTTTTACTCAGCATCATGCTTTCAAAGTTCATCTATGTTGTAGCATGTATCAGGACTTCATTTCTCTTTATGGCTGAGTAATACTCCGTTGTATGAATATAGCACATTTTATCTATTCATCTGTTGATGGGCATTTAGGTTCTTTTGGTACTGTTTTTTATTGTTCTTTTCTTTATTTTTTTAATTGATCTGTTTTCTCCACTAATCTGAGTTCCTTGAGGGAGGGCTTGTTCCTTTGGCTCAGCCTATGTATTCCTTTGCTTGGTTCAGGGAAATGCCTTAGAAATGTCTGGTGAATAAATGAAAGTGGTTCATGATAATGTTGGGCTGAAGAGGCTCTGTGTCTCCCAGGTACAGAGAGGACAAATGATTCTGATTTCCCAGGCAGCACCCACTGGCTGTCAGGAGCTTCAGGGTTAGACCTCACGTGTGCTCTGGCTGTTGCGTGTTTCTATCAGTTGTCATTTCCGGTTATATGGAAGAATGTGTGCTTTCCTCCTAGCAACATTTTAAGCTGTTTCCTGGATATGGATGTATAAGTTAGGGCTTGAGTTGGGTTTGAATCCCAACTATATGATCATTGTCAATCCATTTAACTTCTCCAACCCTGTTTCCTCAGCTGTAAAATGGAGATATTCCTCCTTCACTCCCTAGGAGTGTTGCATGGGAGGATTGACTGAAACAGTGGATGCAGAGGACCTGGCACCATGATGGAGCCTGGCACACGGTTTTGAATGAGTGAATGACCAAGCAGGAAGCCCGGAAAGCTTCTTTCTATCTGCTTCCCTTCCCTACCCAGCATGTTGTCACTATTCTGGAATCAGGCTGGATCTGCTAATATAGTTTCTTTGTTACAAACTGAAAGAAAAACCCAAATGTCCATACTGAGAGAGACAGGAAAGGTAGGTGGGGCTGGAGGCTGAGGGCTTTCAGCTTGTGGTTGCCCCTGTGCCCTGTCTTCCCTCTTAAGATGGTCCTGCTGCACTGCTATTCCTGGGGACTTTATACCCCAGACCTGCGGGTGAATTCAGGGTCTTGTGTTATCTTGGGCAAGACACTTAAATCTCTCACCTGTAAAGTGGGGCCATGATAGTAGCCATGCCACTGGGTTGTAGTGAGGATTAAATAAGATACATAATCAAGCACTTAGCACATAGTAGATAGGTTGGTGGTTCGGACACACCCAGAGGGACCTTGGAAGACAGCCTTGGCAGTTTGCTTCTGAAAGGGCACAGCCTTAAAAACCTATGGAGCAATTCTACTCTGCACACATGGGGTTGCCATGAGTTGGAATTGACTTGACAGCAAATAATAATAACAATGATGATAGCTATTCAGCAGATTCCCTTTTTAATTTCTCTAGGGTCCCATGGTTGGCAGGATGTTATCTACCAGATATACACAAGTATTCATTCACTTTTCCATTTTTGTTAATTTATGAGTTTTTTATAGTGTCAGAGCACTGGTCAACGTGGTATACTCCATTTGCAATTCCAGCAAAAATCAAAAGAACAGGACATTTTATATAGCTTGTGTTATTTCATTAAGAAGTTCATGGTTTGTTCTTGCCATCTGAAATAGTAAAATTAACTTGTGAGTTTCATTTCTACCTTTTGGAGACCAGTGATCATGGGACCTACTGCAACCCATGCAGTGGGCTGGGTGCTGTTCACATATGTCTTATTCATTTCTCTCTTGCCTGCTGAGGTTTTCATACTTATCCCTACTTTAAAGGCGAAAAATCTGAGGCCAGGATTGTAGTTCTCAGCCTTTTCATTTGCCACTTTAAAATGAGAGTTGAGCTTAGGCTAGGAAAACCACTCTCTGGCTTCAGGGCCTGGTGGCCAGTGACTGCCAGATATTCTCATGGCTGACAGTTTGTTCTCTTTGCAGAATGTTTTAGCCGGTGCCTTGTTTGGGCCATGGCTGGGGCTTCTGCTGTGCTGTGTGTTGACCTCATTGGGCGCCACATGCTGCTACCTGCTCTCCAGTATTTTTGGCAAACAGCTGGTGGTCTCCTACTTTCCTGATAAAGTGGCTCTGCTTCAGAGGAAGGTAAGAGGAGGGGGTACATGGCATGGTGGGCCCCCAGAGTACCCTTGTGGGATTTTCTACAGTGTTCTTCCATCCTGCCTTGGGAAGTGTCTCGTAGATACTAGGGTCTAGGGGTTCTTTTAATTCCTCTAGGAGACACAGATCTGGGATCATATTGCAGTTCCACCATTACTGGCTCTGTGACCTTGAGCAAGTTCTTCACTTCTCTGAGCCTTGGGTACCTCAGTTTTTAAAATGGGGAAACAAACTCTATTCTGTAGGGTTGTTGGAAGAGTTGGAAACAGAATATGTAAAAGTGTCTAGATTAGTACCAGGCACTAGCAGGTTTTAATACCTAGGTATTTTTTCTGTTTCTTAACGTCCTTGTCTTCTTTGGCTGCAGGTGGAGGAGAACAGAAACAGCTTGTTTTTCTTCTTACTGTTTTTGAGACTTTTTCCAGTGACACCAAACTGGTTCTTGAACCTCTCGGCCCCAATTCTGAACATCCCCATTGTGCAGTTCTTCTTCTCTGTTCTTATTGGTAAGCTGTAAGTCCTCTGAATTGTCATGCTGGGTGAACAGCCTTAGATATCAGCCACATGACTGTGGGCCCACCTCTCAGAGCACAGCTCTTGAGGAGCATCTTCACACTGTAGGATCTAAAGTAATTATGCCTGATTTCAATTCTACTGAGGCTTGAACATGAAAGCCTATGAAAATGCTTTTGTAAGAACTAACCATTTGTTCTACAAATGTTTTGAGGCCTATTGGGCCAACTCTGTGCTTGGCACTGTGATTAGGAGGGAGAATCCTGTGCAGCACATGACATGGCACAGAGTGTGTACTCAGTCAGTGCTGGTAGGACAAGCAGGGTTGGGTAAAGGTCAGAAGAAAGGAACAGAGCAAGGAGACTTCCTGTCTGGCTTTGACCCCTTTTCTGATTAAGATCTGCCTTAGGAAGAGCTGAAACTCATGAGGTTCATGCCTTTTGACAATTATACTTACCGTTGGTGGGCTGCCAGGCCAAATGAGGGGCTGGGAGTTTCTCAAAGTGTTTCTCAAAGTGTGGATCATGGACCACCTTTCTAAGAACGGTAACATCAGGGGGCTTGTTAAGAATATAGATTCTGGGCCCCTGCCCAGACCTATTGAATCAGAATCTTGGGGGTGGGACCTGGGAATATGTTTTTTAATTCAGTCGCTAGTCAGTGGTTTTCAAACTATGCCAGTCATCTGGGGCACTTTTAAATATCCCTACATTAAGGCCACAGGACACAATAATTAAATCATAGTCTTTGGGGATTAGTCTTTTTTTAAATTTCCAGAAGGTTGTAATGTCTCTGAGTAGCAAGTCCCTAGCAGGCATTCTGCATATAGTGAAATTTGCAAACTGCTGGCTTAATGATTCTAAAGTCTCTCTCAGTGTTAATAACATCCTCAGTATTGCTTTCTCCACAATAGAAACAGTTGCGTTTTTGAGCCTAAAGTAAGGATATCCTTTTTTTTTTTTTTTCTTTTTTATTTTGGGGGCAGAGTCAAGTCATTTATTTGTTGTTTACATGAAAACAGAAAATATGGGGTGGGAGGGAGAATAAGGAGGGAGCTAGCTACCCAGCTGCTTAGATTTTTCTGAAGCCGGAATGAGGGCAGCTGGTTTCAAAGTATAAATCTGGGTCCCCACAGTAATAGGGCAGTTGTGATTGACCAGAAGCATTTTATTGAAGCACCATTTACTAAGTCTTACCCAAGCTAAGCAGGTTTAAGGTTACATTAGAAAGTAACACTGTCTGGAGTATTTTTTTCTTAAGAGCACAGAACTGAGCTGACATGCAGCAAGGATGACAAGTAGCGTGGGGCCAGGCTAAGAGCTGAGGATCAATTCACGAAGAGCGAGCGGGTGAACTCGATGTAGTCAAAGGCTGTGGGGAGCTCACGGCCTTTGCCATCCACATAGGGCTTCATGTGGGAGACACAGTAGTCTGCTTGTTCCCGAGTCACGTTCTGGTATAACTCCTCCTTGGTCACGTACGGCTTTCCCTCTGAGCTGAGGGCATGGAAGGTGCTCTCGATTTCCTCACTGGACTTGACATTCTCACTTTCACAGCTGATCATGAAAGCAGGATATCCTTTTCTTAAATCTTCTTTAGATCATGGAGGGAAAGACAAGTCAGGTCTTCAACGTCAAACATAACATATCTGTGGGTGAGCAGCTACTATTAATAGGGAATGCCTGAGAGAAATTGAAATCTGGAAGGGAGATTTACCACAGATAATTCTCATTGTACTTACTTTCAGACAGAGTGTCTCAGCACCTCAGTTAATAAGGGCTGTTAGCTTGTGACTGACCTAGGTGGCATTAGGTTTTGGAAGACTCTGGAGATTGGGGTCTGTCTCAACCTCCTATCTTGACAAGCCATGTGATCTTGAAAGGTCTGTGATCTTGAGGCTTCATCTACTAGAAATGGAATGGATTTTCAGGGGTCCCAAACCAGTCAGAATCTGTGGGGAGGGGCTTTTACAGTATAGCTTCCTGGACTCAACCCAGTAGCCAATTAACAAGAATCTTTGGGGTGGAGTCTAATAATCTATTTTGGTTAACAGAGGATGATTATTCATCCAGTCTGTCCAGCCAACAGTTAGACTTTTGGGATCTATTAGGTTTGATGAAGTCTTAGAGAAGGGAAGGAACAGTGAAGATTATGAAAAGCAGTACTTTTTCTAAAAAGCTGAAGCTGAAAACAATGAAAAGAAGTCCACACAAGCCAAAATACGGCCTTTAATATATGCCACCTGATTTTAGAGACCATCTGAAGAATAGAGTTGACACATTGCACACTAATGACCAAAGACCAGATGAGTTGTGAGATGACATCAGGGACATTCTACATGAAGAAAGCAAAAGATCATTAAAAAGACAAGAAAGAAAGAAAGGACCAAAATGGATGCCAGAAGAGACTCTGAAACTTGCTCTTGAATGGAGGGAGAGTACTAAAGCAAATGGAAGAAATGACAAGATAAAGGAGTTGAACAGAAGATTTCAAAGGACAGCTTGAGAAGACAAGGTAAAGTATGATAATGAAATGTTCAAAGACCTGGAGTTAGAAAACCAAAAGGGAAGAACACTCGACATTTCTCAAGTTGAAAGAACTGAAGAAAAATTCAAGTCTTGACTTGCAATATTAAAGGATTCTATGGGCAAAATACTGAACAATTCAGGAAATATCAAAAGAAGATAGAAGAAATATAGAGTCACTGTACCAAAAAGAATGGGTTGATGTTCAGCCATATCAGGACGTAGCATATGATCAAGAACTGATAGTATTGAAGGAAGAAGTCCAAGCTGCACTGAAGGCATTGGTGAAAAACACGGTTCCAGGAATTGACATAATATCAATTGAGATGTGTCAACAGATGGATGCATTGCTGGAAGTGTTCACTCATGTATGTCAAGAAATTTGGAAGACAGCTACTTGGCCAACCAACTGGAACAGATCCATATACATTCCCATTTCAAAGAAAGGCATCCAATAGAATATGGAAATTATTGAACAATATCATTATATAACACACGAGTAAAATTTTACTGAAGATAATTCAGAAACAGTTGCAACAGTACATTGACAGGGAACTGCCAGAAATTCAAGCTGGATTCAGAAGAGATGTGGAACTAGGGATATCATTGCTGATGTCCAATCTTGGCTGAGAGCAGAGAATACCAGAAAGACATTTACCTATGTTTTATAGACTCTGAAAAAACATTTGACTGTGTGGATCCTAACAAATTATGGAGCATTGCAAAGAATGAGATTTCCAGAACTTTTAATTGTACTCATGTGGAACCTGTACATAGGCCAAGATGCAGTCATTTGAATAGAACAAGGGATATTGAATGGTTAAAAATCAAAAAAGTTGTGCATCTTGTATCCTTTCACTATACTTATTCAAACTGTATGCTGAGCAAATAATCCCAAGAAGCTGTTGTATGAAGAATGGGGCATCAGGATTGGAGGAAGACTCATTCATTTAACAACCTGCAATACACAGATGACACAGTCTTAGTTGCTGAAATTGAAGAACTTTTGAAGCACTTGCTGATGAATATCAAAGACTGTAGCCTTCAGTGTGGATTACAGCTCAACCTAAAGAAAACAAAAATCCTCACAACCAGACTGATAGTTCAGTTTGTGCGTCAACTTGACTGGGCCTGGTTGAGTGGCTGGGCAGCTGGTGGTAGTTATTCCCCATGAGGAGACTGGCAATCAACTCCATGGTGGGATCTACCACAAGCAGCTAAGTAGCTGCCTTTGGGATGTGGTCTGCTTCCTGTATATAAGGAGAAACCTTGGGAATGGTCTCTAGCCTATGGCACACTTGGACCCTGCAGGTAGCTGTGTTGTTGCTCAGCAGCCTGCTATGCTCTGCCGACCTTGGGACTTATAGTGGACTTAAGTTAATGGCCTGCCGTGTGCCTTTTTACTTGTCAACCTTGGGGCTTCTCAGCCTCAGCAGCCAGCAGCTGTCTGAGTGAAGAAACATCTCTAGCTTCAGTGGTCCGGGAGTAGGAGGCAGAGATAGACCCCAGGGTTGAGGGACTTTCACCCAGCCCCTAGAGCCTGGCACTTTGAACTTGGACTTAAAGTCTCCAAACTGTAAGAGAATAAAGTCCTGTTTGTTAAGGCCATCCCATTTGTGGTATATTTCTTGTCAGAGTGGCACTAGGTAACCAGAACACAGACCAATAAGTAACATCATGTTAAATGGAGAAAATACTGAAGTTGTCAAGGATTTCATTTTACTTGGACCCACAATCAACACCCATGGAAGCAGCAGACAAAAAAGTCAAATGACAGATCGGGAAATCAAACAACATATTGCATTGGGACAAATCTGATGCAAAAGACCTCTTGAATGTGTTAAAAAGCAAAGATGTCACTGTGAAGACTCAGGTATACCTGACCCAAGCTATTGCATTTTCAATCACATATGTTATGAAAGCTGGACAGTGGGTAAAGGAGACCAAAGAATGGATGCTTCTGAATTATGGTGTTAACAAAGAACATTGAATATACTGTGGACTGCCAGAGCAAATACAACTGGCACAAACAAATCTGTTCTGGAAGAAGTACAGCCAGAATGCTTTTTAGGAGGGAGGATATTGAGACTTCATCTTAAGTACTTTGGGCATGTTATCAGGAGGGACCAGTCCTTGGAGAAGGACATCATGCTTGGTGAAGTAGAAGGTCAGTGAAAAAAAGAAAGACGCTCAATGAGATGGATTGACACAGTGGCTGCAACAGTGAGCTCAGACATACCAAGGATTTTGAGGTTGGTGCAGGACTGGGCAGCGTTTCGTTCTTTTGCATAGGTTTCTTGTGAGTTGGAACCAACTAAATGACACTTAACAACAAAAATTTCTAAAAAACTGGTTTGTTTTTATTTTATGCATACCATAAATCACAGAATGATGGTGTTTCCTTTTTTACGTTGGCTGCTGGGCTCTTGCAGCCAAATTTGGGGCCCACTTCTAGCAAATGGGTGACTCTTACGCATGCTTGTACTAAATTCACTCCATGACTTATTCTTCAGCACTCATTTTGCTGTATACAATTATTTTTAAACTGTTATCTTATTAAGTGTATACATTTTGTAAACTACCTGAAGTTCTTTGTTTTGAACAAGGGAGGTTATAGGGGAAGTGAGGGAAGGAGGAGAAAGGGTAGGAAAGGAGGAGGGAAAAAGTAATAATAGGATTTGGGGTCAGGAGTCAGGCAAAAAACAACAAGAACAACAACTGGAGGACCTGTTCTGAACTCTTGGTGACCTTTTTGAAATCTCCCTCAGTTCTCCCACATCCAGTAATGGGCTCTCTTCCTTTTCCTCCTTTCAGGTTTGATGCCATACAATTTCATCTGTGTGCAGACAGGCTCCATCCTGTCAACTCTCACCTCTCTGGATGCTCTGTTCTCCTGGGAAACTGTCCTTCAGCTCTTGGCCATTGCCCTGGTGGCCTTAGTTCCTGGGACCCTCATTAAAAAATTTAGCCAGAAAAACCTGCATTTGAATGAAACAAGCACCACTAATCATCTAAATCATAAAAAGGACACATGATCTGGACTCTCTGGCTGTCACATCCATGGACTGTAGTGCTTATTTATGAAATGGGCATGGTGCTCTATGCCCCTTACTGGTTTTTAAATACCCTAAACCAATGATTCGGACACTCTGTTCATCTGTGGGCAATCTCTTGTCATAAAGGATAGTCTGTGTTCTAGAAGGTGAATTATACTGTTTGTTCTCAAACTAGGTCTGGTGTAGCAGGACATTCTAGTAAATGAATGGCCTCCTAGAAAATCCTGTCTATATTGTATTGACTAACAAGGGAACTCAGGATAGTCTGTTTGTTGTATTTGCCTCTTGCCAACCCCTAGGAGAGCATGCTAATTGTCCTTCTCTAGGGTGTCTTTTGCAGTGGCAGGCTATTGTGGCAGGGGTCTCTTGCTGAGTCCCTTGCTGATATTATTAGGGTAAGTGATGACATATGAACCGACATCACTTCTGTTAGTCTGTTGAAGAGTGTTTTTTCTGTCATTTTTTTGTTGATGATCTACCTCTTCCATAAGCCGAGGGAAACAAGCTGACAAACTGCACAAGACGTCATGGTGATTTCTGTGATGTCTTCAGACACACTGACATTACCATGTATTGACAGACCTCCTCATGGTTGCATGTCCTGACAATTAAGCTCATTGCAAACAGACTATTGAGTATGAGTGGAGCAAACTCTGTTATGGAGAAATTCTTACCCATCTGAATGGGGCAGGGCCCTTGAGCCAACTGAATCAAATGACCTTCTGTACATTTTCTAATCTGTTCTTCCTGCATATGTGTTCCTTCAACATTCTGCTACTGGGATGGGTTCAGCACACTAGGATATCAGCCATTGTACTGTCTGAATGTTTTTCATTTTGCTATTTGCCAAGATAACTGAAGAATAATTTTATCTCTTAATTCAAGAAGAAACACTTGGCTCCTGATTTGTGTGTGTGTTGTATTTCAATTATCCACAGCCCTCATTGCTTCCATGGCTGGAGTACTGAGTTGGCATAGATCTGGATCAATGTTCCAAGGACAGAGGACCTTAGCACCTACACTGACCATCTCTGCGATCCTGTAGTGACAGGAGTAACTCATCATCGCTTACCAGACTGCTGCCCTTGGGCATCCTGCTGGGCTTTCTGCTTGACTTGGCCAAGAATCTTGCCAAGAGCTTTAATCTAGGCCTCTTGTTCTACATGAATTCTTGGGAATAGTCATGTTGGAAGAATGGACTTCCCAGGTTGTGTTTTTCGGTCATGGTATAATCCTTTCACACCAAGGATTTCATTTGAAAAATGTGTTTCTTTACAAGAAGCCTTGATGGCAAGAGTAAGGGTAGGGCGAGGGCAGATTGGACGTAGAAATCGTGGCTCTCTGTGTTCTCTGGAGGGGGAGGGAAAGAGAAACAGGAGCTTTGTGTGTGCCCTTTGCCCTTCATTAGGATCCTAAGATTTTCCTCCCCCAATTTTGCAAGAGTGTGCCTTACCAGTTTTGAGTTTACAGGCAATCAATTTCCCAAATAAATGGATATAAATGTTCTGTGTAGTGCTTGTTTGTATATGTTGCTAATTTTTACCACCCCTTACCAACAGGCTGGAAATCAGACAATCCAAAATGGTGTCCTAGCTTTCCACTTTCAGGCTTCTTAACAGCATTACTCATTGGAAATCAGGTTTTCATTTTTGTCTTTTTCCTCTCTGCTCACTTTATAGTGGGGATCACTAATAAGGGAGGACTAGGAGCTCTGGTAACATAGTGGCTAAGGCACTTGACTGCTAACCAGAAGGCTGGCGGTTCAAACCCACCAGCCACTCCTCAGAAGGAAGGTTGGGCAATCCTACTTCCGTAGTGATACTGCCTCGGAAACCCAAGGAGGGGTCGCTATGAGTTGGGGCCGACTCGATGGCAAACAACAACAACAACAACAAGCTACAAGATGGGCAGGAGGAAAGCCACAGGGAAGAACAGAAGGTGTAAGCTACAATAGAATAATCAAGAAGAGACTATAACAAAAGAGAGTGATGACTGTCTTCCTTTTGTGGTTGTGTCTGAAGTGAAAGAGCCAGAGAAACCAGCTTTGCCCATCACCTGTCTTCTGGCTGCAGGAAACCCGGTCAGGCAAAATCTGCCTTCCCGTAACGTTCTGACAGATTCTGAGACTCCACTACTTGTTACGGAAGCTCCCAGGACACAAAACCGTACCTTCAGGAAAAGACAGGACCAGAAAACAATGAAGTACACTTTTTGTTTAATTCCATGCATTTGTTTGCTTTGATAGTTGTTCTCGTTCCCATTGCTGTACAATTTTGTTCAAGACAGAGAGGGAGCCAGTATCAGAAAACAAGGCAGGAAGCAGGAGAACTATCAGTACAGGAGACCACAGGGAAGATAGGTGGGACATGCATGGTTAGACTGAACCACAAAAAGAATTATTTATTCCAAATTGATAGGAACTCCAGTTATTGCAGTAAAGAGTCAGAGTGGGTGTTTCTACTTCTAGAATCTGAGAAATAGTCACTCTGGAGGTGGAGAGCCACCAGGTGGTATGGTCCATAAGGGACATGTTCCTAATAACTTGCACATTCTGGCTGGGGTTTCCTCCGGCCTGAACCATTGGAGGACCCTGTCCACCAGGTCACTGAACAGCAGCTTGGGGCCAGGAGCCAGCGTTCCCCTGAGTGCTATGAAGTGGCTCTAGAGATTAGGCCTGACATTCTGCCAGAAGCTTCTCTACCATCTGTTTAGGGCTTGGCTAAAATGCTATCACCCCTGGGCACGGAACAATTAACAAAAGCCTTCACCAGCCCCTCTGGGGGTAACACTGTTTTTAGAGCAGTGATTTCAGAGCTCCCCTCTTCTGCCACCTGTCCCTGAGAAGTGTTCAGGTACCACAGGGGTCCTCCACTTGGCAGCCCTATTCATTCCAGTTTGAATAGGCTTCTTGTAGTATCAGCTGGTAACATGCAAACTAGCAGACTAATGTGATTCTCATATGCCAGGCTATGAGGTCGTTGACATTGGCGGTGTGAGTGTAACTCGGGCATTTACTCTATGAAATCAGCAAAGAGGAAAAATCTCGCTGCCTGGAAAGGCACTAAATTCATACTGACAGTACAAGTCAAAGTCTTGAAAGGAACGTCACATTGTTTGAGTACGTTAGTCTCACAGAGTTTAAAGAAGAAGTTGGCAGCTAAGACTTAACACGTGAACTTTCCATTTGTCAAAGGGGAGGAGGAACATGCTCAGTCAACACAATGAAATGATGTGAATGAAGAGACGTTTTGCAACTCAATCCATCAGTGATTGGTGATGTGTCGACTGGAATAGTAGTCCAAAGGGGCAGTGCGTAGAGGCAAGTGGCCTTTTCCTTGCCAGTGGTGCTGCCCTTGTGAGCCATAGGTAGGCTCCATAGAACACTGGTACTGTCCTGTCATCCTCCCATTAGGCTTAGAAAATTAATTACGAGCTTAGAGCTGGGTTGGCACACAGATTTCCTGTTGCACACCAATTCCAGTCAAGTGGTAGTTGCTGCTCTGGTATTGTGTTGTGAGGGATTCTGAAGCTGTGTCCAGACTCAGTAGGAAAGGACAGAGTGATCAATAAATAATGCCAGTTTGGGGTGTTAGGGTGCAAGTGGTAGATGGCAGTATGTGGCAGTATTCTGTTTTAGTGGAAAATGGAAAACAAAATATGGTGACACTGCCGAGAAGAGAAGGAATTCCATGGATTCCAAATACTATTGTCCTATTCTGGAGAAATCGGTTCTAGGACATTGAAGTAGGAATGTTTTTAAAAATAGAAGATCATTGAGATGTCAGGGCATAGGAAAAAAGGAAAGCACATCATTTAAGCAATAAGGAAGGAAGCATTCCCACTGAAAGGACGTCAGTGTTCCACAGAGGGACAGTGTATGTGAAATAGTCCGGGTTGATACCAGGAAAACTCAAAATTGCCCCATTTGTTTTAGGGGAGATTTCATGCAATGAGGCCCTGAAGTGAATAAGGTCCTGTACTTACTTAAACCCTACTAAAAATGTCCTTAATTCCAGAAGGATGGACTTGATACTGAAGTCTTAAAAATATCTGACCTTCAAGTAGGCCACACCAAATAAATAGTCTTACAACAGAGCTAGTAGCTTCACCTTTCTGAACAGGTCAAAGCTGCAGTGCCCCATGATGTTACAACAGGTATAAACTTTAGTGGTGGTGAGGTTCATTATAATTTCAAAGTGGATGCAGGCATCTCAGTGTCTCTGCTAAGCAATTTGAAGAGGAATTGTTACTCAGAGGATATGATCTAGAAATAGATGCTCATCTGCAACACAAATTAACTCATTATCTTGCAGTTAGTCAAAAATAGATGCTAAATGAATGTGGACATTTATCCTAAGGGATTAAATTTTTAGTCAGCAAGGAAGCTTGAAATCACAGTTCTGTGAGGTTCCATGAAGCACTCTTGTACAGTTGTCAGAAGTAAAGAATTAACAGTTAACTTCCCTGAGCAACTGATTCCACATTTTTCAGATGACCATGGAGTTGTTCTCAAAGAAACACATTAATTCCTAATTTCCTTGGTTATCACAAGCCAGGCATGAAGGTCAGGATAGAGGAGGTATTATTTCCCTTTTTAAATACCCCCGTAAAAGTGAAAATGTTCAATATGGGACTTCATTCAACTTTTGACTATACAGTGAGTGACTCAAGACTCAACATTATTTACTACCCCAAGATGCACATACCAGTTAATCTGGATAAGGTGTATGGCATTATCGTGACAGCCAAGATGGGAATTAAAAATCTGATCAAAATTGTGAGGTATCAGGTGAAAGGTGTAAGAAATACTCTGTCACTTCTAAAGATGGGCAAGAAGAACTGGACAAACTGGTGTCAATGTTTTATGTTGGACAGAAAGAAGACTTAGATTATTGCATCTTCATCTCCAGGAGTAATGAACCAGAGAGATTCACAGTACAATGTTGTCTGAAGACAGGGGATGGAAATTGGGGGCTTTCAAGGGACTTGCCAGTCCTGTGATTCTCCAAGGGACTGAGCCTCATTCTAGAATTTCTCTGGTCTTGTAGCAGGATGGTATCTCAGCTAGGCATGTCATAGGATGCCCTGCATGTGTATTTCTTCATTTAGCCTCTTTTCTACACCAAAGAGGACAAAAGCCAGTTTTGTGGGACCTGGCAGGACAGAGATTACAAATGATGCTGCCAGTTCTTGAAATGAACTAACCCATGTGTCCCATGCAGAAATTC